GTTACAGGAATAGTATCAATGGTTGTAAGAAGAGAAAGATCACGAGTTTGGCTAGCATTCAGTACTGTGATGATGCGTGCACTGCTTGAGAGCATGAAAGGATGCATCTCTACCAACATGGCATAGGAGCACCTTGCCAATACTTTCATTGGAAATATAGTCAGAAGTCGGTCATGTAAAAAAAAAAAACAATCCATTGTGTATTTTGTAAGGAGAGGGAGTGTGTGCTGGTCATTTCTGGGCAGAAAGAGAAGGAAGCAAAGGAATATCATCGGGTAATGGTCTTCAGTGTTTAGGTGTGGGACCGGAGTTGGTCCAATTTGGGATGCGCTGGCGATCCGAAAAGTGCCACACTGTAGAGGGAGAACCCAGAAGCACTGTCAAAGAAGAGCAGAGGTCAGATGTATCAGAGGAGTCAGGCGGAACCCTGGTACCTGGAATGGGCGACGAAATGGCACCAGCAAGAGGCACGAGAAATGTCCAAAGAATGGTCAAATAACGAGGTAGGGTCAGAACAAGGTGCAGTAGCAGAAAGGGGTCGGGGGGGGGGGGAGCCGTTTCATGGATTTGGGACCGTTTAGAAAAAAAAGGGGGGGGGGAACGTGGAAGGATAGCTCCTAGGAGGAATGAAAGGGCCGTAAATCCCCCTCCACACCCAAGAGGACCCCAGCACCAAAAGTAGTGCTGATGAGGCATGAAACCCATGCCATACCCTACCCTTCATGTCAGTAAACTGGCAATCTGGGATAGCAACCTCATCTACAAAGACACCTCAGTGGACACAAGAGGGTGGCTGGATATGCGCCCCAAAGCATACTTCCTTCAGACACCACCCCCTGGAAGCCGAAAGCTTCCAGAGATGCATCCGTCACCTGAAAGACACCCAAAGCCACTCCCAGGAGACTGGAGAGGAAGTGGGACATCCCCAGGCAATCCAATTTCATGGCAAACTACACAACCACCACGGATCTCAACAGAATGGGATGGACCACAGTACCCTTCCCCCCACCTAGGACCTATAGGGCCTGTGGGAAGAATCCCAAAGGCTGAAAACAGGAAGGGGATAGGAAGGGGGGGGGGGGAGTAATTCGATTCAGTCTGAGGAAGGAGACCAAAAGGTCTAATTCTGCAGACCAAGAGCCTCTTCACTGCACCAAGGAGCCCTACTTGAAGAGGTAGATAGGGGCATAACTAACGCAAAGATATGAATCCCTTAACACCTTAATCTGGGCTACCCCCATCCCTCCCATGAGTCTGGGCCTAAGGACTGCCGAGTCTTCTCATCCGTAAATACACTGCTGCATATTCCCATGGTCTTTGTTAGGTTTATTATAATTTTAACTAAGCACTAAACCCTTCTCCCTTAGTTGAGGGACCAATTTTGTTAACTGTTGGATATTTTCTAATGTCTTGGTATGCATAAGCACAGGTTCCCAGCTGGGGCCAGATACTGTACTCAAACAAGGCCAACAGTTATGCATGCTGGAAGAGTGCGAGCCCCTGCATACACCCACATGCACTGATAATATGGGCATAAACAAACTAGATTTGAACATTAACTTTGGCATGAAGAATAACAATAAATGTTCTTGTTTGTGCACTTAATGTTTAACAGAATATATAGATAAAGTTCAAGTGAAAGGGGTTAAAACTGATAATAAGATTAATACCTTTGTTTTCAGCTGACTACAGGGTGATTAAACAGGATAATCACAAAATACATCAAGAATTGACTGTAGTCAATTTCTATTCATAATCCACTTAACTGACTAGGACAGTATAAAACATTTTATTCATCCAGTAATTCATATACAATTCTGGTATTTAAGACAGAACCAATTAAGTAGTCATATGCTTGACGACTACCTTTATGTAGGGGTAAGCAATTTAAATTTCTTGGCTCTACTTATGTTCATTCCATGTGGTAGGCAGCACGTCTGAAGCCACATTAAAAAAAGGCTCGTCTGACTTTTTTTTGCAGGTATTGAAGGCCCACCGTTTCTGAAATTTATGTCTAGTAGTTATCTGCCATTACTACTGGCCAACATTTACTGTAATTTTAATACCCAACCAACTGAAGCAATACTGCCAGTTTAACTATTTCTGATCCTTAAACACCCAGTTATGCTAAAACTGCTTAATAAGAACATAAGAACGAAGGAACACTGCAGAAGGCCTACTGGCCCATGCGAGGCAGGTCCAAGTCTCCTACCGGCTTAAGCCAATGCACCCAACCTAGTCAGGTCAGGTCACATCGACTTAAGGGAGGAACACGGCAACCGCCCTGGTAGCTCAATTATCAGGTCCAACTCACACCCACCCACATCCACTCATGTATTTATCCAACCTATTTTTAAAGCTACACAATGTTCTGGCCTCTATAACTGTACTCGGGAGTTTGTTCCACTCATCCACAACTATTACCAAACCAGTACTTTCCTATATCCTTCCTGAATCTGAATTTTTCCAACTTAAAACCATTGCTGCGAGTCCTGTCTAGGCTAGATATTTTCAGCACACTATTTACATCCCCTTTATTTATTCCTGTCTTCCATTTATACACCTCAATCATATCCCCCCTAATTCTACATCTTTCTAGAGTGCAGTTTCAGAGCCCTCAGTCTATCCTCATAGGGAAGGTTTCTGATACATGGGATCAACTTTGTCATCCTCCTTTGTACATTTTCCAGAGAATTTACATCCATTCTGTAATACGGTGACCAAAACTGTGCAGCATAATCTAAATGAGGCCTAACCAAGGATGTATAGAGTTGAAGAACAACCTGAGGACTCCTATTATTTATGCTTCTTGATATGAAGCCAAGGATTCTATTAGCTTTATTGCGAACACTTATGCACTGTTGTCTTGGTTTCAGATTACTGCTAACCAGAACTCCTAAATCTTTTTCGCAATCCGTAATATTAAGATCTACATTATTTAGTTTATATGTGGCATGGTTATTGTCCTGTCCAACATTTAGAACTTTGCATTTGTCTATATTAAACTGCATCTGCCACTTCTCCGACCACTGCATCAGTCTATTCAAATCTTCCTGGAGTGCTCGAATGTCCTCGTCAGAATGAATTCGACGGCCTATTTTGGTGTCATAGGCAAACTTGCTGATGTCGCTCTTTATGCCCTCATCTATGGCGTTTATGTAGATTGTGAACAGCAGGGGGCCTAACACTGACCCCTGTGGAACACCGCTCGTGACGCTTCCCCACTCTGATTTCTCCCCATTTATGCAAACTCTCTGCTACCTATTTGTCAACCATGCCTCTATCCAGGAAAAAATTTCTCCTATTCCATGTGCTTTAATTTTCCTCAATAGTCTCTGATGTGGGACCCTGTCAAAAGCCTTACTGAAGTCCATATACACAATATCATATTCATTACCATGATCTACCTCCTCAAATACCTTAGTGAAAAAAGTTAATAAATTCGTAAGGCAGGAACGCCCCTTTGTAAAACCATGCTGAGATTCGTTGATTAATTTATGCTTTTCAAGGTGGCTACGAACTGCCTCGGCAATTATTGATTCCATAAATTTTCCCACTATGGAGGTTAGGCTTATTGGTCTATAGTTCGAAGCTAAGGACCTGTCACCTGTTTTGAAAATAGGTATCACATTTGCCATTTTCCACTTATCTGGCACCATGCCAGTTTGTAGTGATATGTTGAAAAGATTAGCCAAAGGTGTGCTAAGCTCCTCTTTACATTCCTTTAGAACCCTTGCATACAGTTCATCAGGGCCTGGGGATTTGTTAGGTTTTAATTTATCTATTTGCCTAAGGACCATGTCACTTGTGACCCTAATAGTGCACAGTTTATTATCGTCCTGTTCTACATAATTTATCATTACTGGAATATCGCTGGTATCCTCCTGTGTAAAAACAGAGGAAGTATGTGTTAAAAATTCTACACATTTCCTTATCACTGTCAGTGAGCTGACCCGAGGAACTTTTGAGTGGGCCTATCTTGTCCCTGATCTTACTTCTGTATACCTGAAAGAATCCTTTTGGGTTAGTCTTCGATTCTCTTGCAACTTTAACCTCATAATCTCTTTTTGCTTTTCTAATTCCCTTTTTTATTTCTCTCTTTAACTGAATATATCGATTTCTTAATTGCCCCTCTCCTCTTTTGATTTGCCTATATATGCCTCTCTTTTGACCAATCAGATATTTTAATCTATTGTTCATCCATTTAGGATCATTTTTGTTTGATCTGATTTCCCTATTTGGAACATAATTTGACTGAGCAGCTAGAACTATGCCCTGGAAAGCATCATATCGGCAACCATCACACCTACCTGACCCTTAGTCAGGTCATTCCAATTCAGCCCACCTAAGTAATTTTTCAGTCCTATGAAATCAGCCAAGCGAAAGTCAGGGACAGAGACTTGATTGCCATTATTAGGGGAATTCCATGATATATTAAAACCGAGTGATTTGTGATCACTTTCCCCAAGCTCATCATTAACCTCAAGATTATTAGTGTTTCCCTACTGGCAAGAACCAAGTCAAGGAGGTTATTTCCCCTAGTTGGCTCTGTCACAAACTGTTTTAAAAAACAATCCTGGATCGTATCAAGAAAGTCACCTGACTAAATTTCCTGTCAAATTGCTCCAGTCAATCTGTCTATAGTTGAAATCTTCCATTAGCACAACATTTTCGTATGTAGATGCCTTACGAATTTCGTCCCATAGAAGTTTACTGCACTCATAGAAGTTTACTGCACTAATATACTGCATTAATATATCTGTGGATTTTTTAAATATAATATTTCTCCATAAGGACACCACTCCTATACTTCAGCTTGTACCAAAGTCAGTGACCACTTTGTTAAAATTACTAATTGTTAATTATTGACATCCAAGATTATCTTTCAAAAATCTAATTTCCAATAAGACCTACAAGGACAGTTGAAATCCATTAGTTTTAAAAAATACTTAAGCAAATTGCATCAACAAAAGTATTTCTGACAATGGGAAAATTAAAAATTTTCCAACAATAAGTAATTTAATAATCTTTTTGAAATGGCCCGGATCATACATTAGTAATCCAGTATAAACTGCAAGAAAAAAAACTGGCCTTATGATAGTATTTTTGATGAAAATGTACATAAAGTTGAGCAAAACTGGAAAAATTCAAAGCTACATTCAGAAAAGTTAAACAACTGTAAATATATAGCTGTAATGTAACTGATGCATATCAATTCTCAATTACTTAAACAATATTTCATCTGCACAAATAAAAAAAATTTAAGTATTGGATTCTGTTGATGAAAACACTTATTGAACAAGAATGCACACCAGCTACATGCAATATTTTTATTCATTTTAGTTATTAAAGAAACAAATTTTTCGAACAAGGTCAAACCCCCATAATACCAGCATGAAACTTTAATAAATATTTTTTCATATTCAGAAATACCATATTCAAAATTGTCTTTCAGAGTTCACATACACCAAACACCAAAACACTTCACTGCAAATTAAGAGTACACATCACACATTTGCCATTAACTTTTCTTTAATCCAAACTCTAAGTTATATAATGTCTAACAACCTTCAAGGAATGCCAGATTCAATTTCAGCATCACTAGATCTGTACTGATGTGCATCATTTCAAGCAAAATCCTAGAGCAACAATATTCCCCAATTTACTGTTGCTACTGGTTTTGTACAAGTTTTCAGCAGCAAGGGGTCACCATACAAAATTGCCAAAGATATAAATTTTATATTCTCAGCATGACGTACACAGGCTCTTAACATACAATGGCTATGTCTTCCTACGTGAATATCCCTCAGGCTCAATCTCTTGTCCTACAAGGGCATCAAGTTTGGTGAGCACTTGTGACTGTCTTGCCAAAAGTGAACCAGTAGGATAGAGCAAGTCATCTGGGGGAGACATTGCTAAACTGCTAGGACCAGCTGGAGAAACTGATAATTCCAAATCAAAATCCAAGCCATCACTACAAACTGATTTACCACGCTGTGACCTCCTCACCTGGCGACTTAGTTTATCAATACGATCATTTTGTTTTAATATAAAACCCTCTAAAGTCTGATTACTGGAGACCAGTGCCTGGCAACGCAACTCAATGGCTCTACATTCCTCCGCTCCAGCTTCCCTTGCTGCTTTCACCGAATTCTGTTGCTCTTCTATTTGTTTATTCTTTTCAGACAATTTAAATTCTAATTGAATTACACGACTATGTGCAGCATCTAAGCTAGCTGTGGCAACCCGACACTTTTCCTCAAGCTCCTGCACCTGTTCCAAAGAGGTTGCACGCTCAAGTTCCATCCTCCTCATAGTACCAGGACTTCCTGACAGTGTCAACCTCCACACCTCTTGTTGATATCTTTCCTTCATTTCTCCCATTAGAATAAGTTGTTTCTGTAAAGTTTCCACCTGGTTACGAAAGACATCATTTTCATCTGCTAAATGAGCTTGGCAAGTAAGCTGCCTGTCTTTTTCTAGCAAGGCTGTTTGTGCTTCTTTTAACTGAATGTTTAAGGATTCATTTTCTCTGCTAAGAGCTTCACATTGCTTTTTTAATAAGCCTCTATCTTTTTGAGCCTCATCTCTCTCAACAAGCACTTTAGTGACTTTGACTTGTTCTTGGGACAAGGCTTGTTGCAATTGCTGCTCCTTGTTTGCTGCTAGTGATTGCAAATTTTTAATTTCATGATTCAAATTTAAAATTTCACCTTGATATTGAGATATTTTCATTTTCAATTCACGTTGCTGGTGTTCAAGTGTAAATGCTTTCTTTTCTCGTCCTAGAAGCCTACGATTACGTTCAGCATGTACATCACGCCTATAGCGTTCCACAAGTAGCAAGATCTGCATTAGGCGAATCTGGTTTTTCCATACTTCATTTCCTTCTGTCTGATTTGTTGGCTGCCAGAGAATAGTTTCAGCCTCCTCACCAACCTCGGCACCAAATCTTAGGTATTGGTCTAATAGCTCATATGGCGAAGGGCTGGAAAAATTCGAGTCATTCATATTGGTATCTGAATTTTTTGGCTGGTATGATGTTGGACCAGCTACTAAAGCACCAAGAAGTTGTTCATATGGATTAACAACCGTTATTTCTTCAGTCTGTGTTGACGCTTCACTTGTCACAATAGCTTGTCTTACTGGGGACAATGTAAGAGAAGATACTGCAGACACTTTCCTAACTTTTCTTTCATTGGCACAAGGTGTCTGTACACTGCCATCTACTGATAAATCTGGACAGGATAAACTTCTCATATGAGCATTACTGGAACCATTAACTTTGGTTGGAGAAAGAGCTGCTCTTCCTACCAAATTGTACTGGGACAGATCAGGTGGAGGGCCACACTGACTTAAAAATCTTAGTCTCATTTTTCTCATGTTCTTCACCAGATCAGTCATTGATCTTTGAGTTGGAACCCCTAATCCCAAGTTTTCTGATTCCTCTATGTTAATGTTTTCACACACCCTAGTCTCATCTGAGGATTTTCTGCTCTCACTACCTTCTGATTCTCTCTCTTCAGATATTCTACGATCAATAAGAGATGTGGTGTAATTCTGATCTCTATCAATTTCACTTTTAAGAGCCGCTTCATTAGAAAAATTCAAGTCACTATTTCCACTAGGCAAACTGATCAACAGGAATTCCTAATTTTTTTAAATCAATATTTTGAGTGCCATCATACATTGAAACTTTTCTCCTACGATTCCCTTGATCAGGTTGTGGGGAACAGATATCACCTTTAGGTTCAAATTCATTTTCTGCTGCTGTATCCCGAACATTTTTCTCACCTAAAGTCTTCCTTATTATCACTACACTTTCCTTTATTTCTTTGACATCCTTTGTGTCAATGTCTATGCCTTCACTGTCATTCTTATTTTCCAAGGGCTTGTTATTTTCTTTCTGAATTTGTTGTCTTTCTTTTAAAATCTGCTGCAACTTGCTTTGAAGTAGAGTAGATCGCTCCACCCGACTGAACAAATTCTGGCTCTGATCATCAGGAAATTTAAATGGTGTCTGTTCTTTTTTTACAGGTGACAAGGGGCTGGAAGTGACCTCTAAATCCGTAGCCTGTATAGCTTGATTGTTCTTACATATATCTGTGTTGAGGGTTAAGGCACACTTAACATCAACTGGCTGGCGAGTGCTCACATTGCTGGCTTCCATCTTCATAGGAGAAGTAAAAGGTGTAGTTTCAGGGGTGGCCTCAATAGCTGCTTCGGGTGGAGATTCTGCTACCTTCCCCACTAACCTCAGGTTTGGACTGCTTATGGGATAAACTGGGGTATGAGGTACAGAGGAAGATGACCCTATTTGTGATGAGAGTAGAGATGAAGGTAGGGACAGACTAGGAGACCAGAAATTCTTTTCCAGAGAATATAGTAACCAATTAGTGGGCAAGGGTGAAGAATCAGAAGCTAAATCACTACCTTGGTTGCAAGTAAAAAAAGATCCACTTACATCCTCACAAGTGGCCTCAATGGGATCTAGACAAAGCTTAGCACATTCAAGAATTAACTGGTGAGTTTCAAGCCCCATCCATCTAGCTCTGTTTAGTTCAGACTCTTTTGTTTCAGTTATCAAAAGAGGATGAAGACGGACTTTTTCCATCATGGGCCTAAGAGTACTAGAGAAACATGCTGATGAATTTGCCTTTGAGAAATTATTTCTTAAGCAAGTAAGAAAGTGACATGGATACAGGGCATACAGTTTATGAAATAGAGAATACACAGCCACCTGCAAAAAAGGCTGAAAAGCCTCATTTTCTTGTTTTGGAGCCCATCGAACCAATCGGCAGAATATATCTAATACTGAGGAGAGGTGCAAGCGTCCCATTTCTAGTGGTAATGCAGGAAGGAGAACCACTACAACCATGACGGCGCCTACCAAGACGAGAACGTCCTCATCTGTTAAAAGGACATGCAGTAGTTCACGCATGGCACCATGTTGAAGAAATTTTCTTAACCACAAAGGGGGTGGTTGACGACGAACAGCATACAGCACAATGCAGGTGTGACGGAAGCGATCGGAGCCTTTCAATCCATCCATCAGTCTATCTAAGAGGTAGCGATCATGAGGCTCGCTCACTCCAAGCAGAATGTCCAAAAGGCGTCCACTGAAATTAATTTTCAACTAATTAATACCTTAATAGGTGAAATATCAAATTTTACTGTATTCATTAAAATTAAAAATTTAAATTATCCGTGCTCTAGGTACTTCCACTTCAAACTTACCAGACATGGATACACTATCACATCACCTTGGTAGATTAATGCATACAGCAGTACATATATAGCAAACAAAATTTGAAAGTTTAAACTTTGAACTACCACCAGTACACAACTATTCTGGTTTCCCAAGTCACTTCAGGAAGAACAGCTTGTCGGTGTAAACAAGCAACTTGTTACACCACTTCATCCAATAATTAAAATGTTTACATCTATGTACATGCACCCATGGGCTTTCTTTAGCCTTTGCTTCCAACACTGCTTAAAAAATCACAGCACCATTTGACCACCTGTCAAACTGATAAAGGTGTGAACTGAGCTCATGTTGCTTATATGGCTCCTCAACTTTTAGTATTCCAACCTGAACTTGTGAATTTTGGTGGAGCTGCACATTCCCGAGGTGTCAATTTTTTTTTTTTTTTTATTTCAGCAAGTCAACCATGATAATGTTGTATGCCCAAATTTACAGACATGTCAACACCGAATGGGGTTAGATCTACCCTTTGTGCTTCCACTGCTCCTCCATCTCTGCTTTTTAGTTAGTGGATTATGATCCTTAGACTGATCCTGCTGTTAGTGGTAGTTCAGTACCTTAACTACAAACTAGCTTAAAGTTACTCTCATGCCTAGAATGAACCAATTAGAGCCTCCATTACTATAATACAGCTTGGATTATACTACTGAAAAAGTACTGTACATCATATTGCAAGCACTGCACGAGAAATTTGGGAATCCACCAACGGACATTTACAAGGCCTATCCATCATTCATTTCTGTGCAGGAAAGAAGGAAGGAGTTTTTCAGCTACTGAAAACATGGGTAAAGATTTCCCTTTACCCAGATTTCACCACTCATTTCCAGCATAGATAACACTGGTCTGCATGATTTTGTTTTGACTTATCTTTTTCAGTATAATATATATTTTTTTTTTTTTTTTTTTTTTTAACAAGTCGGCCGTCTCCCACCAAGGCAGGGTGACCCAAAAAGAAAATACTTTCATCATCTATAACACAGCTGAACCACTTGCCAAGAAACTTCATCGCTATCCCACATAAGAACACAGAACAATGCAGAAGGTCTGCTCACAACTTATCCAATACCCCTGCCAAGCTACCCAAGATTTTAGACTATAACCCCACCCGGTAGATCATCAGATGCAGCATTCTCCACCTGACCTCAACATTCTGAACCTGACTATAAATACTCAAGTACCTTCCACCCCAGGTAGATCTGTTTGTGACTTTAAAAAGCCCACTGTGTGGGCGAAACGTTGTCAATAAAGGATCACATTAAACTGCATATGTGTTTGTTTCCATTGTGTCTATTTCATACCATTTATTTTCAGAGATGGAAGAAGTTGCCTTCAGAAATTAAGGAGATTTTTGAAATGTGGGGTAAGATGGAAAGATTTATGGAGAAACATCACCCTGACAAGGCTGTTGCAAGCCATGTTGGCAACACATACAGTGACAAAGTCTTGGCCCATTTTAGGGAAGTGTTAAAGAGACGCCACAAACAGAGCTCTCTGGAATTTTTTTTTTTTTTTTGCGAGACAGGGCTCCAGTGACTCAAGCTGGTCCTAGTGGCATTAAGAAACAGAAGAGAAGTAACCCCAGAAAAGCACTTTGTACCTGAGGTGTTGATGGAAGGGGATTCCCCTTCCAAAGAGTAACTAATCCAATCTCTCCTCCTCCAGTCTTCCATACACTAAGAAGAATTGCCAATAAAGGTAAGTGTTATGCTGTTAATGTTTCATTCATCATGTCCCACTGTATTATGTACTACATCTATATTTCATGTAAAATTTTTTTTGTTTTAATACTTCTGGGTGCCAGGAACGGATTAATTGTATTTACATTATTTCTTATGGGGAAAATATTCAAAATCATAAATTTTGATAATAGTCACACTTCCAGGAACGGATTAATTACGAAAAACGAGGGACCACTGTATATGGAAAATAGCGATTCATTGTGGTTTTGTATTAATCTCTCCCATCAGGTTGTCAAGTTATACGGAAACATTACTTCTCTCTTTTCGTATAACATGAGTAAATGAGAAAGTGGTATATTACCAATTAAAATGTTATATTGACTTAAATGTTTAATCTATTTTTCTTTATTTTCAGATTAATAAGTCTAGAAGGTGTATAAATTTGCCAGGCACATTTTGCCATGTCTGCGGGGATTCACTCCCTTTAGATTTCTGGAGTAACATTACTCCTTTATTGAAGCACTGCTACTTTATTATTTTGGCTATAAACTTTGAGACCAGGACAAACCCTTTCCACCACACAGGAGTTGTATCAATATGCTCCAAATGTGGTCAGTTGGAAAACTTAAATGTATGCCCTTTGGAGTACCAATGGTATGGTAGGAGCAGATAAACCACCATGATGACTGCTACTTTTGTATGACTAAAGTAGCTGGAGTCAAGACTACACAAGATTGCATAATATACCCAAATATTCTTCAGCAATAAGGCCTGTTCCTCATTGAAGATATTTCTGTACCTGTGCCACCTGAGACATGGCAAATTTCATCAGTCTGATACCAGTAATTCTAAGGAGATGGAAGCAGACTATGACCCCACCAACAAATGACAATCCCAAACCCTTAAACCAAGTTGAGCTCAATGACTTGGCGAGAGACCTTAACCTTCCAAAAGAAAGTGCATAGTTACTTGGCTCTAGACTGAAGGAACACAGGCTTGTAGCTCCTGGTACATTTGCTTGGTACTGTCACCATGAAGTGAAATTCACTTTAGGGCTTACGAAAAATTTTGTGAAGGCCTTGAACAAGAATGGAATCGCTTTCAAGTACCTGGAGTCATTTTCCTCATAAGTGAAGGCAAGCTAAAGGCAAAGATCTTTGTTGGTCCTCAGATTCGAGAACTGAAGGACAAGTATTTTGATGAAGCATTAGCAGGTGTCAAGGCGAATACCCGGTTTTCATTAAATCAGACTGTCCACAACTTCCTGGGAAACAGGCGCTCCCCCGAATATGAAAAAATGATCCAAGACCTGATTTCAAGTTTCCAACAACTTGGGTCTAGAATGATTGTGAAGATGCACTTTTTTGCACTCACATCTTTACTATTTTCCCAACTGTGGGGACTAGAGTAAGGAACAAGGAGAGCGGTTCCATCAGGATATTTGCACCGTGGAAAAACTATTAGGGCAAATGGAATGTCAGCATGGCGGATTATTTCTGGTTATTGAAACTTAATGGTCTATGCACAGCACAAGCGAAAATCAAAGCAGTCCTCCTCCCTTTGATTCAATATGTAGGCTAACCATTAGGAGCATATTTGTTTAATAAAATCATTAGATTTGATTTCTGTTGATTTGGAATTCATATGTTCTTAAAACCAGAATGTGCTTTTCCATGATTACTTGCCTAATTTTAATAAATTAACAATTTATTAAAAATTCACATTTTTTTTATCATTAATCTGTATTTTATTCAAAATCCTTAAGTGATAGAGCAAAATGGTTTAGATATTTACAATCAGCAGCTCAAGAATATGCAAGATCACAACCATTAATAAAAAAAATTTAAAACATTCCAAATGCAGACAAGTGTAATCAGCCTTATCCGTGACTTTATTGTACTCTACCACACACTGAAAAAGCCTTCAGGGACTGGTCAGCCATTGTCCAACTAGGCTGAGCTTCCTCATCTGACCCAGAGATTTTTGCTGTGTATTCACCAGGATTTTCGCTCTGTGCTTTTATCCACCGAAAGTCCATTTCATACCGTGTGTTCAACTTAACCCAAGTAAAAGTTCAATGATTGAAAAAGATAAATGGAGCTACCAGAATATTCTAAAAGCTCCCTACCCGTTAAAAAAAAAAAAAAAGTTCATACAAATTTCAGTATAACAGGTCAAATAATGTTGAAATGTTTAGTGCAACTTGCTTATCCAGATTCCAAAACACTATCCATACCCATGCACTCACCATTATATTTATACCCCCAACAAGTAAATTTATAATACATAAACTTAGTTCTGTATATACAGTCCACATCTGTTTATCCGAAATTCTGAAACTAAAAGTTTCGAAAATCAAAGCTTTTTCCATGGAACGTGGAGAGTCATCTCAGTGCTGGGTCACACCGCCATGTGGTAGCATTGAGAATCATTCTGAAATTCAAAAAAGTCAGAAATTCGAAACAATACTGGCCCCAAGGGTTTTGGATAAAAGGATGTGGAACTGTATTTACTACTATCTTAATACAGTCTACAGGGGATGGTTAAAATAACCATTAAACTAAGAGAGATTCACAAAATTAGTATATTAAACTGAATTCAAACACTATCTTAAATTATATATGGCGAGACATTTAAAGTTAATTCTAGTCTGGCCAAAATGTTCTGTAGTACTAGCATATTAAACATTTATGAAATAGTAAATGTCACCTAATTTTGTAACAATCTAAAATCAAATTTGTAATGTTCAACCCGAAAATTTTAAAAAAATCTTAATTTTTTTTATAAATCCCTTCAAAAAAATTTTGATGCCCACTTGGCTCTTACCCTCACTGGAGATAATGCTTCTGAGACATTTGTGAATTTTTCAGATCTTCAACATTCATTGTATTACTGTGTATTGAAACCTTTGTCATGACAAGTATCAGTTATTTTTTACATACCTGTTGGAAACATAGAAGTATTCTAACATGCCATTGACCAGCCATGCCTCACGTACGGTGGCAAAGGTATCTTTCAACAATGCCCGCACCTCTTGGGCGACCTCTTCCTGAGCACTCTCCAACAGTCCTAGCACATCACCAACATTCAAGTCCCTCACCTCTGCCATTGTCACTGTTAGAAAAGACTTTTAGAAGACAATAGAAATAGCATATTATACTTCTGACAAGGTAATACTGTAAGCCAATTATCAATTTACTAGCCTAACAAATGCACATCTGAAATTCCAAGTCCCCTACCCCAAATGCCCCTACCTTTTACACTTTTCCTCCAGTGACTTTTTTCATTACTAATCTCTTTACACACAATGAAACTATTTTAATGTCCTATGAATTATGCAGTACTGTAATGGTAATAGTGGACCCTTGGTTATTGGCCGTTCCGCTTATCGGCCAACTGTTTTCGGCCGGTTTTTCGACTTCCGGTTATCAGCCGTTACTTCACTTATCTGCCATATGGGACTTGTCAACCCGCCGCCACTGCTTGCGCATCAGTCTGGTTTTGTGTCTGGGTGAGTGAGGAAGCTTCTGCTAATTCATCCAAACATTCCACTATAATCCATTGTTTTTGGTGGTTATTTATTAAGTAACTGAAATAAGTAACCATGGCCCCAAAGAAAGTTCCTAGTAAAGTTCCTTTGGTAAAGGAAGTGAGAAACAATGGAATTTAAGAAAGAAATTGTAGCAAAGTACAAGAGTGGTGGTGGTAGAGGGTGGCAGTGGTTGTGATGGTGGTAGAGGGTAGAGCTGCAATACCTTCATCTGGAACAGCAACAGACCACGGCTGAGGAAATTGCTTCACAGGAGGAATAGAGGGGAGAGAATGTGCCTTCAGTGATTAACCCTTTCAGGGTCCACAGGCCCTGAGAGACTGGTTCTCAGGGTCCCCCAAATTAAAAAAAAAAAAAAAAGGAAAATAGTTTTTTTTTTTCTAAACATTATAGGCTAAACAAAAAAATTTTTACCATCAATACTTAGAGATATGGAGGCGTGAAGTTGACAAAATGCCCCATATATGGTATCATCGCCAACTGCCATCACCAGGTATTACAGTGGACCCCCGGTATTCGATATTAATCAGTTCCCGAGAGCTCATCAAATACCGAAAATAAAAAAACGAATCAATTTTCCTCATAAGAAATAATGGAAATCAAATTAATCCGTGCAAGACACCCAAAAGTATGAAAAAAAAATTTTTACTACATGAAATATTAAGTTTAATGCAATAGAATAATTACAATAATAAAATCATTGACACTTACCTTTAATGAAGATCTGGTGATTGATGGGATGGGAGGAGGGGAGAGGTGTTAGTGTTTAGAAGGGGAATCCCCTTCCATTAGGACTTGAGGTGGCAAGTCCTTTTCCAGGGTTACTTCCCTTCTTTTAATGCCACTAGAACCAGCTTGAGAGTCACTGGATTTCTGTCGCACAACATATCTGTCCATAGTGGCCTGTACCGCCCGTTCCTTTATGACATTCCTAAAGTGTTTCACAACAGTGTCAGTGTAATAGTCACCAGCACGGCTTGCAATAGCCGTGTTAGGGTGATTGTCATCAAAAAAGGTTTGCACTTTAAGCCACATTGCACACATTTCCTTAATCTTTGAAGTAGGCAACTTCAATTTCTCTATCCCCTCCTCCAAAGCAGTTTCCTCAAGTGTGGCCTCTTGCTGTTGAAGATGATCTATCAGCTCATCATTGGTTAGTTCTTCACTGTCCTCCACCAACTCCTCCACATCCTCCCCACTAACCTCCAACCCCAAGGACTTCCCCAATGCCACAATGGATTCCTCAACTGAAATAGGATTCTCAGGGTTAGCCTCAAATCCTTCAAAATCCCTTTTGTCTACACATTCTGGCCACAGTTTTTTCTAAGCAGAGTTCAAGGTCCTCTTAGTCACTCCCTCCCAAGCTGTACCTGTAAGGTTAATACAATTGAGGATATTAAAGTGATCCTTCCAAAACTCTTTTAGAGTTAGTTGAGTTTCTGTGGTCACTACAAAGCACTTTTGAAACAGCTTTTGTGTACAGTTTCTTGAAGTTGGAAATGACCTGCTGGTCCATGGGCTGCAGGAGAGGAATGGTATTAGGAGGCAAAAACTTGACCTTAATGAAGCTCATGTCCCCACAAAGTCGCTCTGCCAAGTCTGTAGGATGACCAGGGGCATTGTCTAATACCAGGAGGCACTTAAGGTCTAATTTCTTTTCAGTTAGGTAATTTTTCACAGTGGGGGCAAATGCTTGGTGTAATCAGTCATAGAAAAAGTCCCTAGTGACCCATGCCTTACTGTTTGTCCTCCACAGCACATAAATTAGCCTTGAGGACATTGTTTTTCTGAACACACTGAGTTTCAGAGTGATGCACCAATAAAGGCTTCACTTTGCAATCACCAGTAGCATTGGCACACATGAGAAGAGTAAGCCTGTCTTTCATAGGCTTATGTCCTGGGAGTGCCTTTTCCTCCCGAGTAATGTAGGTCCTGGTGGCATTTTCTTCCAAAACAGGCCTGTTTCGTCGCAATTAAACACTTTCAGGTTTCAAGTCTTCACTGGTCTATGTAATACTTGAATTCCTTCACATGTTTTTCAGCTGCTTTTTGGTCCGAACTGGCAGCCTCACCATGCCTAATCGCACTATGTATGCCACTACGATTCTTAAATCTTTCAAACCAACCTTTGCTGGCCTTAAATTCACTCACATCAGCACTAGTTGCAGGCAATTTCTTTAACAAATCGTCATGCAACTTCCTAGCCTTTTCACAAATGATCGCTTGAGATGCTATCTCCTGCTATCTGTTTTTCATTTATCCACACCAGTAACAATCTCTCAACATTTTCTAACACTTGCGGTCGCTGTTTCGTAATCACATTTGCACCTTTTGCAAGAACAGCTTCCTTAATTGCCATTTTCCTGCTCACTATAGTAGAGATGGTTGATTGGGGTTTATTATACAACCTGACCAGCTCCGACACACACACACTCCACTTTCGTACTTTGCAATTATCTCTCTCTTCATTTCATAAGTCATTAGAGACTCTTTCTTGAAGGTTTGGCATTAGAAGCTTTCTTGGGGCCCATGGTGACATTTTGCAGAAACAAGCACCAAACAGTGATAATATGGATAATATGGAATGTACCGAATGTATCCTTAGATGCGCGCACACTGGCTGGCTTGTAAACACTGGCACACACGGGGCAGTTCAGGCCACACGTGGACAAGTCTCTTACGAATCTTATCGAATACCGGGTTTTCAATCGAATACCGAGTAAAATTGTTTGCGATATAATGCATCGGATACCAGATTCATCGAATACCGATGCCATCGAATACCAGGGGTCCACTGTATTTGTTTTTTTTTAGGTACTATTTTCTATTATTTTTTAATTTTTTTTTTTCCAAGTAACTTTTATGGCCTGTGAGACCAATATTAGCACTATTTTATAAGTCTTTTCTCTTTATTTACTACACAATAACTCCACAAACACTGTTGTCCTTAAATTTTTTATAATTGTTGTTTTCACACACAAATGATATAAAATGTTTACTATTTTTCTATATTTTATATACACATACAGTCACGGGGAATGTTTCTAGAAGTTCTGCAACCTGTGGAAGTCTTTGAAACATGGTGTCATGCACAGTGGTGTTTTACACTCCTCACATAAAACGAGTGCGTTGTTGTGGGCGTTTTTTTGTATGTGCACAGATGTAACACCTCTTCTGAGCCTTTTTCTTGAAAGCAGTAGCAGGCAGTTTTACCAGGAAGTAATCACCATGCTTCAGACGAGCAGGTAGTTGTTGATAATTTGGTGAGCGGTCTATTGCAGGTGTTGTTCCTTGGTACTTTAATACTATTTGTCTGATGACAAAGAATTCGCCATAGGATGGTTTGTTTCTGGTCCTCCTCTTATACATATTATAAGCATTGAGCATGGAAGTGTCCAGAAGATGGAAAGTGTTTTATGTACCACTTATAACTCTTGCAAACAATTAGCAAACCCAATCTGCATGTCACATTTGTCCACTGAGCGCATATTGAGGGTGTAATCAATCACAGCTGCCGGTTTTAGAATGGGTTCATTGGTCTCTCGATGCTGCCTGCCAGTGTTTGTCATTTCGTTAGGGTGAACTGATGATGACAGTGTGACATTTCGTTTGTCATGCCACCGAAATGCCGTGATGTCATTGGCAGCAAACGCCTGAACCTCACCTGTACGAGTGCCAGCGTCAAACCTGGGCATATGTTTACGATTTGCACGCACTGTGCCACACACATCTGTCATGTTCACTCGCAAAAAATCACCGAGTGAGGGGCTTGTGTACCAGTTATCAGTATATAATATATGCCCCTTACCAAGGTATGGTTCTATCATTGTTCTAACCACATCACCAGAGATGCCCAATAACTACCTGGTATTTTGAAATGTACAGTGGTCCCCCGCTTTTTGTAGTTCCCGGCAATCTTAAAATTTGCCAATCATAGGGGTATTTTCGTATAAACATGGACTCGCTTTTCATAGGTTGACTCGCGAGTCGTAGCTCATCCGGGACACGTACGCACGGCGTGAGCCAGGGCGGCAGCCAGTCTGGCATTGTTTACCAGTGAGCGAAGGTCCCCACGCGTGCTCCAGCGAAATATTTCATAATATTCCATTTATTTTAGTGCTTGCAAGTACTAAGTAAGCTACCATGGCTTGAAAGAAAGCTAGTGCCAAGCCTGTGGTAAAGAAGGTGAGAAATACGATTGAATTTAAGAAAACCATTACTGAATATGAAAGTGGTACAAGTGTGGCCGAACTGTCCAGGATGTATAAGAAACCCTACACAACCTTATGTTCCATAGGGGCCAAGAAAAATGAAATCAAGGATGCTGTTGTTGCAACGGGAGTAACTATGCTGACAAAAATGAGATCACCAGTACTGGAAGAGGTTGAGAAGTTATTATTGGTGTGGATAAATGAGAAACAATTAGCAGGAGATACTCTTATGACTGTTTATTTGTGAAAAGGCTAGGCAGTTGCATGAACATTTGGTAAAGAAATTGCCTGCAAATAGTGGTGAAGTGAGTGAATTTAAGGCCAGCAAAGGCTGGTTTGAGAGATTTAAGAAC